TATTTGTAGCTGTAAAGGATGGAGGTGCAGAAAAGAAGATATTGTGGGACACTGTGATGGAGCAAGTGAGCAGCTTTGGGATCCTGCCATTATCATTTGGACTGATGAGCAGGAGCCACACAGGATTACAGCTATGGCTGTAACCAGATGGGTCATGCTGATAATTCGGGACAGCAGTTACATGCATAAATAGCCTGGTGAGCCCCCGGCTTTGTTGGTAAGTCTGGATGAGTGAATGTGGCTTAGAGACAAAGGGGTTATGAATCCATGGCAAGCCCACAATCAGGGACATACTCAGCATAAGTAATTAGGGAATGGAGCCAACTTCTATTCATTCCTGGTCCCTGCTGCCATGTAGTGCATGGGCTGTTACTGAGGGACACAGAAAGTTTTGATGAACATGACAAAGCCCTGGACCAAGTCACCCCTGAGGGCAATGGGATGATTTTGGAAGAAGCTGACTCGATTTCAACATGCATGTGTAGGAAATGTGTGATGGCTAACAGCTCATTCCTGACTATGGGATGCATGGCTGGGAAGACTCCATCAGAGTGTACAAATGCTCAGAAGCTGTTCCCTGAAATCCTTCACTGGCGGGAAGTGCCCAGGCAGGAGGAGGGCAGGTTTCCCCATCTGACTCTGCAGGCGGGTGCCAGGTTCATATTTAGCTCAGTGAGGGGCTGACCTTGGCTGGAGCTGCTCACTGATGCTTTTTCCAGACATCCTCCTATGCTCTGGTTGTGTGACTTACCACCCTGCCTCTGGAGAAGTGAATGAGCTTCCTGGAAGCATAACACGGGGTGAGAACAATTTATATTTCTAAGGATGGGCCAAAGTGGGCCTCAGCTGAAAGCACGGGAAATTCCATCATTCTTCTACTGTGTAGCTTTCAGAGGAGAAGAGGTTAACTAAAATTCCCAAGCCTGTTGATATGTGTGACCCTTTTTTTTTTTTTACTTTTTTTTTTTTTTTTTTTTTTTTTGGGAAAAAGAGGAAAAAAAGGAAATGGGAAAAGTAAGAAATTAAAAGGAAAAAAGAAATTTAAAAAAAAAGAGGGAACTCTCTTTGGTGGGCAGCTCTGAGCACCCCCTGATGCCCTTGTTACCCAGTAACCAAAGGAAAACATCCTGAGTGGTTCTACTGAACTTGATGCAATTGCTTGCAGTACCGAAGCCAGAAGCTTAGACAAAAACTGTTCATCAGAGCAGATTTAGAGCTAAAATAAGAAGGGGAAAGAAGGAAACGCTTCTCTGAATTTCAAACTGATAGTTTTAATACAAAAGATCTTTGCTCTATTTTTTTGGAGGGGGAGGCGGGGATCCTCTCATGAATGCACCCTCAAACTTTTCTGTATAGAAATGCAAAACCTCCTGCAACCTATTCCCAGAGGTTTCTCCCTGCACCCCAGGCTGCCTGGTGATGTTTAGGAGGTGACAGTGAGTTTTAAGGGATGGAGGTCAGGTTTGGGAGGTAACATTCCTACAGAAAAAAAACACTTGCCCCCGTGGCTCCTACTTGTGCGTAGGAAACTTTGTTGTGAGAAAAAAATGGAGGGTGAGAAGATGGGGAAAACAAAGAAATAAATAAGAGCAGATATAAAAAAA